ACAATTTCTTTTTGGGGCTCCCCAGACCCCTTCCCCATTTCGATTAAGGGCCAAATACACCCCCTTCGATGTCTGCCCCACTTCCCGACAGAAGTGACAGTATGGTTGCCCCTGGTCTCCAATTTTAGCGCCTGATGCAGTGCCGCCATGTGCGAGCGAAGAGATTTTCCGTCCTCCCTTCCACGATGCAAACTTTACAGTTGTCTGAAAATGCCACCCCTCCAATTAAAGAAAAAATGACACAGGACGGACAACCCCGTCCACTACCTTCCTCCGCTACTAGCACTACCGACCCAAACATCTGAAATTCCTCCCCCTAGCCCAGGAGGAAATTGTCTGAAGGAAACATGGGTTAGTACCTTTCTCAACACCTGAAGTTAGAAAAAAAATTCAAAACACTTAAGAGACACTTACAATATGTTCTCCAGTGTTTCAATGAACTTCATCCATTAAAATCGTAGTCATTTCGTCAAAGCTTTTTTTAATTTTTCCCGTCGCAGAGTAGGGGGGTGCATAAGAGCCCTTAAAAACATGAAGAACCTAAAACACATTTCAAGAGAACATACATTAAATAGCATGGACCAATCTATTATTGTTTTGATTTTGGTTTTTGGTTTTTGTTTCGTTTATTTTCAACTTTCAAAAATATGTGAGAAAAATGAAATACTTCTAAAAGATGTCAACTCCAAACGTGTTGCGGTGCCGTGTTTAAGATCTACCTGAGCGCTTAACAAAATGAGCAACAATGTCTTAAAGAGAAACTATGAGTTTATTAAAAATATTAACAAATTTTGTCCTCATGTGATTACATCAAATCGCAAATGTAATACTTCCATCTTCTGTCCCTGAAGAAGAAAAAAAAATTTTTTTTTTAAATAATAGACGCGAAGATTATTTTCTAAACGTGAACATGCCATATGTGTGTCTTCAAGTTACTGTAAAATGTTTTATTAATTATCTAAATCTGATGATTTTGTAACGTTCTATTATTGAGAACATATTTATGTAAGAAATATGCCGGTATCTTGGTTCACTTGGACTTGGTATTTCTGAACTTGCAGTTAGTAAAACATTAAACAAGTAAGAGAACAGGAACTACACTTGCCATGTCACCGCTGAAAGAATGGGCTTAAGCATGACATATGACCTGACTTATTTATTTCATGAATCATTTTTGTGTTGTTAAGTTGTTATCTTCTCTAAATGTTTTTGTTAGAGTAAACGCAAGGCATTGGTGGAAAATAATGACAGAGATACCGAGACACAATGACATATATACTGAGACATAATTACTTATATATCGATACACAATGAGGAGGTATCGGAGACACAATGTCAGAGATAGCTAGACACAATGAAAGAAATAGCTAGCGACAATGACCGTGGTAATCCAGACACAATGACGTAGATACCGAGACACAATGACATATACCGAGACACAATGACAGATATACCGAGACACAATGACATACATACCGAGACACAATGACAGACATACCGAGACACAATGATATTGACACCGAAACACACTGGTGAATTTTTTAGATATTCTTTGCGAATAAGTTATTCAAAAAAATGTTCGCGAACAGATTGTGTACTCATTTAGCCCCAGTCAGAAGCTGGTTTTCCATAGTGTTGGGTATACTCTCCATAAAATACTTACTTGTGATCACTGTGTTGAGAACTAAATGCTCCTTTTAGCACAGAGCCAGGTGGGACAATCAAGGATAATCTACCATCCCAGTCATTAGCATAGTCCGTGGTGAAACAATTTTTTGGTTTTTTGGCTGTAAAAAAGATGTATATGACCTTATTGAGAGTTTTATATATATATATATATATATATATATATATATATATATATATATATATATATATATATATATATATATATATATATATATAAGAGAGAGAGAGAGAGAAAGAGAGAGAGAGAGAGAGAGGGGGAGAGAGAGAGAGAGTGTGTGTGTGTGATGGTTTTTTGTATGTAAAAAAAATATATATGATCTTATTGAGAGTTTTATATATATATATATATATATATATATATATATATATATATATAGATATATATAGATATATATATATATGTATATATAGAAGAGAGAGAGAGAGGGAAAGAGAAAGAGAGATAGAGAGGGGGAAAGAGAGAGAGAGTGTGTGTTCGTGACATTCAGATAAGCAGAAATATATAATCCAACTGTTAACTCTTTTCAAATGGAAGGTGTTCCAGGAATTCAAATCTAATTTTATTATATTCTATGGAATTTTCTTCTAGCTGGATCACAATTTAAGATTGCGTTTCTTAACGACAAAGTCTTTATAATTGATTTCATCTCATCAAAATGAACAATGATTTCAGAGCTTTCAATGCTATTTTTTAAATCATTTGTATTAATTTCGCTTGTGTCCGTGGAAGTCTTGCTGGATGAAGGACTGGCAAAATTTTCGGTGGTCTAATGGACCCTTTTCCCGTCAACCTATCGAGATGAAACATGGCACATAGTCTTGTTGCCAATGACAACACATTATTTCAAATTTTTATCCCCAACGCTCAAATGCAGCAATAAAAAATAATTTTTTCCTGTCTTAAAATATGAAGATCAAATTAAATTCCTGATAACTGCGCTAATTGATTTTCTTTTTTAAATAATATCAAAACTGCTTTTGGCGCGTACATTTTTCTTTTGTTGTTGTTTTTTTTTTTCTGAAATAGTTGTGATATAAATCTGCTGGTGGGATCTAGAATATTAAAATACTAGCGAGGACCCGGCATGCATTGCACAACACTCAAAGAACAAAGTGTTTGGGTTTAATTAGGTTTTTAAAGTAATTTTAAATAAAAATTTTGTTTTTTTTTGTGTGTGTTTTTTTTCGTCTTGAACGAACACAAATAATTTAGAAGGTTTTCGACGCGTGAGCAGGCAACATACAGCTGTCCACGTGAGCAGACAACATACAGCTGTCCACGTGAGCAGACAACATACAGCCGTCCACGTGAGCAGGCAACATACAGCTGTCCACATGAGAATCATGGATTTTTAAAATTTGGTCCACAAACTTGGAGCGATTGCCCCACCAATTATATACATATAAATAAGCCGCCCCCCCCCCCCCGCCCCCCGCCCAAAACGCCAAATTGTAAAATGGTTGAACTAATTCAGAAACCGAATTTTCATGTCAAAAAAACTAAAATGTCGCTTGTATTTTATTCAATTCCATCCACCCATGCAATAGCTCTGTTGGAAATTATCTGTGTATAGCTCCTATAAGAAAAAACTATTTTGCAGGCTTGCGCACAAGTTACCGAAATTCTATCGCAATCGGATGGATGGCATAGGATAGCATACGGATTTTATATTTAGCTCATTACAGTATGACCGGAAAAAGGGAATTTAGGGCCTTAGGCCCAAAACAGAATACTGTAAAATGTGTGTAATAATTCAGAAAAGGTTTCGGGCGTATGCACAACAACTCATAAAAGTTTTATCGCAATCGGATCAATGGTATATGCGAGCATACGGGACATAGACACATATATTAATTTTTATATACGTATAAAAATAGTTTACCGAATAAAAAATACTTTTTGCACAACTATTAAAGGAATCGTTCTGTCTACCATCCATCCATCCGTCTATCCATCCATCCATCCATCCATCCATCCGTCTATCCATCCATCCATCCATCCATCCATCAATCCGTCTATCCATCAATCAATCCAACTATCCGCCCATCCGTCCATCGATCCTTCCATTCATCCACCCATGCTTCTATCTATCTATCTATCTATCTATCTATCTATCTATCTATCTATCTATCTATCTATCTATCTATCTATCTATCTATCTATCTATCTATCTATCTATCTATCTATCTATCTATCTATCTATCTATCTATCTATCTATCTATCTATCTATCTACCTATCTATCTATCTATCTACCTATCTATCTATCTATCTATCTACCTATCTACCTATCACCCTATCTACCTATCTACCTATCTACCTACCTACCTATCTACCTACCTACCTATCTACCTATCTACATATCTATCTATCTATCTATCTATCTATCTATCTATCTATCTATCTATCTATCTATCTATCTATCTATCTATCTATCTATCTATCTATCTACCTATCTATCTACCTATCTACCTATCACCCTATCTACCTATCTACCTATCTACATATCTATCTATCTATCTATCTATCTATCTATCTATCTATCTATCTATCTCAATAAATCATCCTTCTGTCCGTCGATCTGTCTGTCTTTCAGTCCGTCTGAAATGTCGATATGTCTGTCGATCGGTCTGTCTGTCGGTCTGTCCGTCTTTCGTTCGGCCTGTCTGTATTTCGCTCAGTCTGTCCTTTGGTCTGTCTGTCAGTCGGTCGATCTGTCTGACTGTCGATCTGTCCGTCTTTCAGTCGGTCTGTCCGTCTTTCGGTCGGTTTGTCCGTCGGTCTGTTTTTCTGTCAGTCATGTATCTTAATGTGATTAAGATGCAATTCTTAGGTCATAAAATTTTGATTAATAATTTTTTTCCTAACATTAATATTCGGATAAAATGCTTAAAATAGTTCCTTAGTTGTTACTTCAAATATATTTATAATGATAATACTTAAACTTTTCTAAAATAAAAGCGGATATTTAATATTTTTTGCACATTTAAATGTATTCGATTTCCGTATAATATCAGAAAATAACTATGATTGTTTATAGGAATCCGAACGTATTTAAATATTTTCTGCTCTTTGGAGTTACGTCAGTATAGCTCATTCTTACATATATAGCCCAGGGGGCTTAAAAAAAAGATCTACAATTGAGAACATTTAAGGGATAATAAATTAGGAGTCTTACAAAATGCGTTAATTTCATTCAATTTTGTCAAATTTTCAACCTCAAATCCCATTGCTCTAAATTACATTTGACAAAGGATTTATGCAGGGAAAAAACTGTGTTTGAAGTGTTTAATTCTATCTTGACTCAAAGTTTAAACAAGTTTTACTAACAAAGACTCACTTGCAATGCCGCAAGATCTAAATTTGAATCGTCTGTCTTCCGAACCGTTGTCATGGTAACTGTCAATACCAGTGACCACAGTGTCCCCTGGACAAATGTAGACCAACATCTCTTCCCATGAGTTCACGTAAGCTGAAGTTGACAACAATAACAAGAGGTTCAATTGCTGACATCAACTCTATATTATGTGTGTCCGTGAGTAGGGTTGTCTTTTTGAGGAGTGTTTTAATGGTAAGCGTTGAATGGAATTCTCTGAATATATTTATGCAATCAAATTATAATTAATTATGTAGTTTTTTAAAGTAGGAAAGTTTTCTTCTCCATATTTTCTTTCCATCATCAATTGTTGTTATCTGTTTCGTTTACATTTAATGCATTGATATGTGTTTATTTTTCATAAATGCCTTTGTACGTTGTAATATAGATAGCTTGAAATTGTATCGACATTTTTACCGTGTTAAACCAGATAAAAGATATGTTTTCTTATAGAGAATTTTTAGATCTTTTTCAATGCCTTTATAATAAAACAGTTCGTACTTTTTTTTAAAAATAAGGTCAGTTAGTTAAATAATTATTATAAAACTCACAGCTCCAGGTGCAAGCAGACGTCGCACCGTCCCCACCACATTGGAAACTCCAGCGTCTGTCTTCCTTTTCATTATCGTTCTCACTTTCGATCTCCTCGATGTACTCACCAGTCTCGCAGTGAAACAAAGCTTGCTGGTCAAACTCGTTCACGTATACCGCCTTTATACAGGCGGAAATATACAGTAGTAACAAGACTACATGAACTGTCAGCATTTTAAGAGTAGACATTAGGGCTAAGATGAAAAGATTGTGTTACAGTTATGTCCATCATGAAGCATGCAATATAATCTGATATTTTGCAAATGCGATGCTTCACTTGAGAATGGTTGCATGCAGTTAAAATAAAGAACATTCAATGTGGATTTCATCGTTGAAAATGAGTAGTACATAACACACACTTTTTTTAATATTATAAAATCATGCACACACAAAATACAATTATTAGCCAATGATCTTGTCTATGGATGTCACTGTTTTTGCTTTTTTTTTAATAAAAAGAAAATTGAACGCTCATTATTAAGTATTGTCATTTCACTTAAAATGCGATTGTTAACATAAACTTAATCCGTTTCGTAAATTCAAATTTCTAAAGCCCTGGGAAAATGATTTAAATGATGACACTTATTTTGAAATGTAAATTTCTATGATTCTTTTATAAATATATAAATATTAGTTGATTAATTTTTAGATAGAGTCTAGACTCGAACTTGCAATACAATGAATCATATTAGGCTATCACTAAAAACAAAATGGTGGTGCCCTGATTATTCTCGTTGAGGTCGTGGGAAACCCGTCAAAATCTAAAGGCCAGAAGGTGATTGACTTTGACAATGTTCTAAGTGACCGGGGAAAAATCTCCATTACTAACATAAAAGATGAAATATCTATTGCAAAAAGATGCTCTATTTTTATCTCAGTGAACACGATAAAGAGTTCCATATTTTATTCGCCGTTAAATCAAGTTTTTTGAAACTACTACAGCACCCGATTATAAACTAATTCGTTCTTGAAGTCCCATTATATTGCAGCTGCAGTAACACATTTCATTAATCAAGCCTTTTAAAATTCTCAACTTACCACTACACGTTTCCAGTAACAAAAGTAAGAGTGACTCGATTGATGCCCTAGTCGTAGTTCAGCGGGCTCTGTTAGTGTGAAGTAACGTACATACTTGATATGAACTAAGGAGAACAGAGTATATACAATTTTAGTGAATTAATATTCGTCAACATCCAAAACCCCTTGTTTAATTTTGCAAGATACTACTTCAAATTAACTATTTATCGATACTCTTAATTTTTGTATAATTAACTGATCCGGAGCCTATAATTTATTGTTCAGTAAAAAATACATCTAAACAAAGAATCGATTACTGTACTTTTGTTTTTATGAGCAGCTATCTGTTGCTGTAGCGAGAAACATGATTATGGTCTCAATTAATACAGGTGTTATGTTGATCTAGGTCAGTGGTCGGGAAATTGCGGCTCGCGAGCAAAATGCGGCTCTTAAGCGATCTGAGTGCGGTTCGGCCAGGCCGCCAAAAAATCGGTTTTGACTCCGATAACCACAGCTGAGATACGAAGGCTGATCCGAAAGAGCAACATTAGATCACCGACTGCAGCAACTATCCCCTGCCCGCGGTGCCAGAGATTATTCCGAGCACGGATCGGTCTAGCAAGCCACCTACGAGCTCACCGTAACCGACCCTCCCCCCCCCCCTAACGGATGACTCGATGGTCCTAGTCGACTTTGACGGATAAACAACACAACGAAGGTGCATAAGAAGTGTCATGAGAACCGCCACGAAAAAGTGTTTGAAAAGGAGTATGAGAATCATGACAAGGGATGCGAGAAGGGCTTTGAAACTAAATAAGGCTTCTTTTTTAGTCATTATAAAAATACTTGCGGATAATTTTTGCGTACTGCATTAAATACATTTTAAATTGGTTTCTACTTTTTAGTACGTTTAAACTCGTCTTTGAAATAGTCTTACTTTTTTTCTATAGTTGTTTTTTTTTTCTTTCTTTTTTAATTTTGTAAATTTCTTTAAGTTATGCACAAGAGAAGAGTTATTATTTTTTTTTTTACAAATATCCGGTAATATGACTTAAAAGCTGATACCCCTGGTTGCTAGCTGTACGTTTATCCGAGTCAAATTTCCGTAATTACCTATTTATATGGATTCGCCACTGAGTCAATCTATTCTAAACACAAACACAGTTGAGTAAAAAATAATATTGTTTTAAACTATATGTTCTGTGATATAATCACGCGACAGGTGCTCACAGCTGTTCCCTTGTTTATGTCAGTTTGGCCATTCAGACAAGGGTATTCTATAAAAGTACTTTATTAAGCAGGTCAGATCTAATGTCGAATATAGGGCCAATGATTGGGATGTGTGTTTTCGAGGTCGCCTGCTGTGCAAAGTAATTCAAATTTGGTGAGTGGTTTTCAAAACTGGTTGCCCCAAATGCTTCTAATAAATATTTAAGATCCAGTAACGATGACCTAGACCAGGGGTCCTCAAACTTAACAACGATTGGCTAGTCCAGGGGTACTCAAACATAACAACGATGTGCTAGACAAGGGTACTCAACATTAGTCAAGATTGACTATACAAGGGGGTATTGAAACTTAGTAAAGAAGGGCTAGACAAGAGGTGCTCAAAATTAGTAAAGAAGGGCTAGACCAGGGGTACTCAAACTTAGCAGCGATTGGCTAAACCAGGGGTACTCAATGGAGCAAAGTTGGACTAGACCAGGTTTACTCAACAATGGGTTAGACCAGGGTTTCTAAAATAAGTGATCAGCGCACCGCTGCCCAGGGTGACGACGGGGGCGAACCAATGCCCAGGGCAGTCCAAGGTTGGCTTTTAGCCTACTCTACTGCAGCCCATTTGTTTTGAACACCCATAGGTCATTTTATCATTAAATATACATAAAGTTTAGATTACAATTTTTCTTGATAACTTTTAAAATAAAACGTGTTCTATGTTAGATGTATTCTCTCGTATTCTAGAACAATTAACAATGACTTATTTTAGCCCTTAATGATTTCAAAGCTCTTTTTTTATTTTACTGACTTGTTACTTTTATCCGTTTTAATCAGTACTTTGTTTCAATCAGCACTTTGCTGTAAGTGTGCGAACTGTACCGGACATTCACTAAAAAAGATATTAAGTAAGAGTGGTCTTCATAGAATTTTTAAGTGTGTGCTTGATAAAACTGTGATCAAAATATTTTTAAAATATTAAAATGATGTCTCCTAATAGTTGGATAATGTGGGTCTGCAACCGACTCGCTGCTTTATAAATGTATTTTATATTGTAATCATTTCATTTTGTTTTTCTTGTTTGTATGTTTGTATGTTTGTATGTTGGTATGTTGGTATGTTTGTATGTTTTTGTGAATTTGTTTTGGAACCCAAGTAATGGGGAGTCCCTGGTGCTTTTTGGAAACTTCTCCACCGGTACGTCAAACATTAAAGTCTGGGGAAACTCTGTATTGGGTAAATTTTTTTTTTTTTTTTTTTTTTTGGACCCCAATTATGGGGGTTTTTTTTTTTTTTTTTTTTTTTTTATCGAAATGCTCTCGGGGTCATCATTTGACCCACGTTCCATATTTGACCCGAGGTCAAGACTTTCAGCCTCCCTTGTCTAGACGAACACCAAAAGTTTTACAGTCAGCTCAGTCTTATATTATTAGAGATATAGAAAATTCACTTTCTTTTTTTTTTCTTTTATACAATGTATATTACAATAAGTTATATTAAATTTCTAGCCCAGCATATGTATACAGCTATTTTAGCCACCACCACCACCTCCCTCCCCTAGTATAGCCTTTTTATGGTATAGTATAGTTTGACGTCACCGTTAACTGTACTGTGTCATCCCTTACCCACACCTCCCTGTTCATGTTATAATTGAGTCTATTTATGCTAAGCTATTCCATGAGCTGACGCAGTTTATAGACTTTTTGTACTAGAAGTTTCCAATTTAATTCTTATATATATATTTTTTTTTAATTTCCTAACACAGAGCTAAAGGTAGAGAGAGAGAGTGAGAGAGAGAGAGAGAGATGAGGGGAGGGTGAGAGAGAGAGATGAGGGGAGGGTGAGAGAGAGAGAGAGAGATGGGGCAGAGAGATAGAGAGAGAACGAGAGAGAGAGAGGGGGTGAGAGAGGGGAAGTGGGTGAGGGAGATATTTGTGCTGTATGAGACGTTATATAATCATATGTGTACATTAATTATTTTTTTTATGTGTTCTCCTTTCCAACTCTCTGTAATTTCTTAAAGTCTTTTCTAGGGTCTCTGTATTTTAATTTGAATGGGCTTAGATATTTATGAGTATCATTAAATTAATCATAAATAGTTTCATTACCGTTGGTTTCGTTCTCTTTGCATGCTGTCTTTATCAGTTCTTTGCTATGCATTTTACGAGCCAAATCTTAACAAAGAATAAATATAGAAAATCCTAACGGTACGTAACAATATAAGAAAAATAATCGGTATCATGTGGTGTAAAATATTGTTTGCGCTCTATGTTTTCTAAATAAATCTATCAGTTCATGCATTTTCTAGCCTTAATTTTCTGGTGGGTTCAACTTTGTCCCTGTACTTTCTTCCTGGCCAGAAGAGATATTTTTGCAAATTTTCCTAGACATTGACTAGATTTATTATACTTTTATGAGCCTAACAGAATTGTACTCTTTCTGTGTTTTTGTGTGGGCATTATTTTTGTTTAGAGGATATTACTTTTTCACTTGCTGCTCTATAAGCTAATATAGATTTTTCCATTTTCCCCCTCAATTTTATTTTGTAATTTTGTTAAAATGTAATAGTATAATTAAATTTAATATTTGTCTTTTTATAGTGATTTTCAATTCTTAAAACAGATTAAGTTTGACAAAAAAATATTAAAAATTAATAACGGTGCGTCACACCCATTCTTCTATGGCTATTTTGCCCCACTCTTCTACTTCTCTTCTGCCAGCTATGTTGCCTCTAATCTTCTAACAGCTAGGATGCCTCTAATATTCTACCAGCTAGGTTGGCTCTAATATTTTACCAGCTATGCTGCTTCTAATATTCTACCAGCTATGTTACTCGAACATGCATTTCTAATGCCCAGTTAATAAGATAGATAAATTTGATTTTGTTTATTGATGCAAATGAATGGATTTTTTAAAAAATTTAAATAAATTTCGCTTTTGTTTCTGTGTCTCTATCTGACTGATACTTGGCATATAGTCTCGCTGTCACTGACAGCACAATCTATTCAATGTTGCACCCGAAAAATAAAAATCAGTTTCTTCTGTTTTCAAGGTTTAGGTAAAGGAAATATGATGCCAATGATTTCACGAAATCGAAAATATCGAAAGTGCTTTTTATGCGAAATAAAATGCCAAAAAAACTGCGCTCAATAAGATTATTTTCTTTGCTTTAAATATAGCATGTGTAACATGTTTTCTGAAATAATTTGTCAAATAAATCTGCGTTGTAAAAGTGTTTGGGTCATTAGCATATTAATATAGCTCGAGTGCGTGAAAAAATATTCGGTTGGCATACTTCTGGGGGGATGGTGGTGGGGGTGGGGTGCTCATTGAGATTTTTTCAGGGACGATACATGTAAGCATGTTTTGCCACCTTTTCAGCCCCACCCCACCCCCACCTCTTTCGATCGATTTTACATTTTATAAAGGATTTATACCCCAAAAAATATTTTTAGGGATTGTTTAAGTGGTCACAAAATTTTTTGTTATTTATTGATTAAGCGCTTTACCCAAAAAATGTTAATAAGAAATATTTTAAAACCAAATAACTATTTAGTAATTAATGGTTTAAAAAATTCTATAAGGAGGAGCGCCGTCAGTTTATTCCTCAGCCAACATTCAAAGTTGACAACTTAGAAAAACGCGTCCAAACCACACCTTTGAGTCAACTTTGAACTTAATGTCCAAAGCCCCGGAGGAAATCATCTGAAAGAAACACTGTTGAGAATTTCTCTCAAGACCTCAAATTATCTATGATATTACAAACATTTTTGAGGAACTTAAACATTGGTGAATTACAATCAATTTCATTAAAATTTAGCGATTAAAATCGTAGATATTTTGTCAAAGTTATTAAAATTGTGCTAAACTCTGGGGGGGGGGGGGTAAAGAGAGAGATAAAACAGTTTTTATAAACATTAAGACTTTGAAAGCCATTGGAAGAGTACATAAACAAAATACATTAATTTGATCTTCTTTCGTTTTTTTTAACAAATTTTTTTTTTTTAAATATATGAGAAAATTAAATACCTTAAAAAATTTAATTTTTCAAAAGCCTGTTCCACACATGTCACAGCACACTGTTAAAAATAAACCGGATGTCTTAATTAAAGGAATAACAGTCAATTATGATTAACCATCAATTTATTTCAAAATATTAACAAATAATGTCTTCATGTGATTACATCGACGTTGTCAACTGTCAAGTAGTGCAACTACAAGTCGCAAACGTAATACTTCCATTTTCTGTCCCTGGAGATGAAAACAACATGGAAATGATCAACGAGAATTTTTTTTTTTTAATGAACATTCGATATGTTGGTATTGAAGTTTTTGGTAAAATGTGAATTTATTGTTGTTTTTTTTCACTTCCCATAATTGATTCAGTATAGACTAATAAGTTTTATAAAAAAATATATTTATGTAAACGTATGTTATTGTAGTTTGCCTTGGTATTTCTGAAATCAGACTTTGTGGTTGGAAAATCATTCAACAAGTAAGAGAAGAAGATACAATCGATATGTCACCGCTTAAATGGTGGGTCTCAACATGACATACGCCATAACTGACTAATTTAATTCACGAATCATTGATGAGTTGTCTATGTACACATTTCACAATATGTTTTGATTAAGTACACAATGGCAGAGATGAAGTGGCAGAATGAGAGAGCTACCCAGACAATTGGCAGAGATGAGACACAACAACAATTTATCGAGAAAAAATGACTGCGGCAATAAGACATTATGACAGATATATCTATACACACTGTTAGAGATCCGAGACACACTGACCGAGATAGACAGAAATATCGAGACAACAGCGCCAGAGATACCGAGATACAGTGACAGAGATACCGAGATACATTGACAGACATACCGAAATACAGTGACAGAGATACCGAGATAGATTGACAGAGATACCGATATACATTGACAGAGATACCGATATACATTGACAGAGATACCGATATTTCCATGACAGATATACCCAGATAGAAGACAGAGATGCCGAAATAGAGTGAAAGAGATACCGAGATACAGTGACAGAGATACCGAGATACAGTGACAGTCATACCGAGATACATTCTGATGAATATTTAGATCTTCTAGGATTCAATTACCTCCTATCAAAAAACTGGTTTACTGAAGTGTCGGTTACTCCGATCCTAAAATACTTACTTGTGTCTATTGTGATAATAACTAAACGCTCCTTTTAGCACAGTTCCCGGTGAGAGAATCAAGAGTAACCTCTCATCCCAGTCATTAGCATAGTCCATGATGTAACAATTCTTGGGTTTTTTGGCTACAAAAAAGTGTGTATCAATTTGTTGAGTGTTGAAATGCATATATATATATTTATATATTATGTTTGTGGGTGTACGTATATTTATATATTATGTTTGTGGGTGTACGTATATTTATATATTATGTTTGTGGGTGTACGTGCTCTTTAAAACAAACTTAGCAATCATAAAATTTCTCCGTGCTGAAAACTCACAAGATTTTTTGACATTTTAAAAATAAATTCTTCACATTTTTCTTGTAATATTATAATATATCTCCTATTTAAATACCGTTATGAAGATATTTATGTTTTTACTTAAATCAGCTGGTATTTCATATCTATTTCTGTACATGTCAAACAATCTCATGTAAGTAAACAATTATTATCATATTGGCGAGAAACGCCGGCATTTTGTCTCATTGTGACTTGGTCATTCCGACTTTGCAGTTCGTACATCATTCAACAAGTAAGAGAAGGAGCTACACTTGACATGTTACCGCTAGATGTACGGGCTTAGACAAGACATAAAAACAGGACCATCGAATCTTTTTTATGACAGAAAGTTTCGATAAAATACCCGAGGTGTCACCTCACAAGACCTCACAAGACCTCACAAGACCTCACAAGACCTCACAAGACCTCACAAGACCTCACCAGACCTCACCAGACCTCACCAGACCTCACAAGACCTCACAAGACCTGGTGCCTCTTCTGCTGTTTGCTTTTAACAACACTATCAGTTGAAGTAACGTTGACAATACTTTTGCTGCCCTGTCAGATACTACTTTACAGCTAAGTGTTCTTTTTAAAATTTAATTCTGTTCTGTCCTGTTGTTTGCTCGCTGACGAAGGCTTCCTCTCGACAAGTTCGTTATTTTGTTGGGTTCCTTTTTTAAGGTTTGACCATACTTTGTTTTAATTATCTACCTTTTTGATAACCTGATTACAATTCCCCCCCCCCTTTATTACCGTGATGTGACATGTTGAACTATATAGTGATGTGACATGTTAAACTATATAGTGATGTGACATGTTAGACTATATAATAGTGATGTGACATGTTGGGCTATACAGAGTTGTGACATGTTAAACTACATATTGAAGTGACATTTTAAACTAAATAGTGATGTGACATGTTAAACTATTAAGTGATGTGACATGTTAGTCGATACATTGATTTGACATGTCATATTATAGAGTTATGTGACATGATAGACTGTATAGTGATACGACATGTTAGACCAAATTTTGATGTGACATATTAGACTATAAAAATATAGTGATGTGACGTGTTAGACTATATGGGGATGTGATTGTTAGAATTTATAGTGATGTGACATATTAGACTATGTGGTGATATGAATCAATGACTCTATATAATTATGCTTTTTTAAAATTAATCTAGAAAATTATTGTAATTACTTTAACACACATAGGAAAATAAAAGATGCTTGAAAGGAGAGAGAGCGAGAGTTGGGAGTGATGGGATAGTTGGGAAAGTTGGGAGAGATGAGAGAGTTGGGAGGGGGTGTAGAGGACAACAAGAGAGAGACATAGAGTGAGCACGAGAGATTCGCCTAAACAGAATAGACGAAGTCAACTGTTGTGAAATATAAAAGGTTTCCAGAAATTCAACTACGTTTATGCTATTCTATTCTTTGACACGATATTCTATGACATTATATCCTGTCACATTATAATAATTACATTCTATTCCATGATATTCTTGTATATTGAATTCTATTATATGACATTTTGTTCACTCAGCTGGATCACAATTTACTTGTTTAAAATTTTTAACGACTCAGGCTTTATAATTGATTTCATCTCATCAAAATAACCAACGATTTTTTTAAAATAGATTTTAATCGTATTCTTTCTTTATCTTGCTCAAAGTGTTAAGAATTTTACTAACAAAGACTCACTCGCAATGCCGCAGCATCTAAACTTGAATCGTCTGTCCTCTGCTCCTTCGTCATTGTAACTGTCGATACCAGTGACCACAGAGTCACCTGGACAAATGTAGACCAACATCTCCCACCACGAGTTCACGTAGGCTGAAGTTGAAAATTGGAAAACGTTCAGTTAATGACATAGACTGTTCGATCATTTATATGTAAATATATTCATTTATTAATATATATTTATGTATTTACTATCACTAAACAAGTTGGTTATAAATCATACTGGAGGCATAAAGGTTCAAATGACGACTGATTTTATTATCCACATTCCGTGACATACACAATAAGGAAAAAAAAATCTCACAAAATGTTAATCCGAAAGCACTGGGAACCTATCATATGAATCTCAATGACCAGCTTGTGGATCATCTTCTTCACTTGATAATGTGTCATCACACTCTAAATCTTCATGTAAAACATCAACGGTGTCTGTTCATTTCATCTCATGCAAACATCGTGATTCAACTACCATTTAATTCAACTCCTTCCATTGTTTCACTCTTCGCTCATCGGCCAGCTTTCTCTCGAGTCCCACTACTCTGTATATTATTATAAGTAATAACTACCACATTACTTATCTCGATTATATTCATATTCATATCTGTGACAATTTATTTATTTCTTCTTCTTCTTCTTCTTCTTCTATATCTTAAGGGCCCACGATCAATTTATTGATCATTTTGGCTCCTATGCATGTAGATGGGATTTGCAATGTTTCTGTTACTGGTGGTGATGAGGAAATTATGCACTAGGGGTTTGAAGGCTTGAGGCAATAGACACAAATGTGTCTAGTGTTGTCGCCTCAACTGTTCCGTTTGAAAGATGGTTCCAGTCCCTGATTGTCTTGGACAGGAATGAGCAGCTCCTATACTGGCTTCTTGCTGGTATGAGCCTGAATTGCCTGTCATGGCCTCGTCGCTGTCTATGGGGGAGAGGTACGAGTTTCTGTTTAATACTGGAACAGTGGACCAGCCCATTATTTATCTTGTACATCATGGAGAGCCTGGATTGTCGTCGTCGTTTCTCCAATGGTGACCAGCCTAGTGTTTCTAGCATGCTGCCAACACTAGAGGTATTCCTGTAGCGGTTTAGGACAAAGCGTGCTGCTCGTCGCTGGACCGCCTCCAACCTGTCAATGCTCTTCTGGGTAAATGGGTCCCAGACTGAAGATGCATAATCTAAAATCGGACGGATAAAGGCTTTATATGCTCTTTCTTTCACACAGGAGTTGCCAATCTTTAGATTTCGCCTTAAGAACCCCAAGGCTTGGTTTGCTTGGTTACATACATTGTTAATATGCTCGTCCCAGCGGACCTCTCTTTGAATTATTTATTATGTGTATCTGTGATGTTCGGCTTCCCTCTGCGTGGCTCTTCATCCCTAAAGATATTGATCACATCAAATGCTAATAAAACATGTAGTGGATTTTTCTAAATTCAAATTTAATTTCAACGTTTCCTTTCACGAATAAGTTGTAATAATCTGTGTCGTTTAAATTTAATGCATTAATTTGTTGTTTTCCTTTTTAATAAACGCTTATATCTGTTGTAATTTAGATATCTTGAATTGTATCGATATTTTTTTATGGGTTCAATATTACAAATGATGTCTTAGAGTTAGTCTGTGGATCATTGTAAATGCCTTAAAAATAAAATAATGTCTATGCTTTTCAAATAAGGTCACTTATGAAAAACAATGTTTTAACTCACGGCTCCAGGTGCAGGCAGACGTCGCCCCGTCACTACCACATTGAAAACTCCAGCGTCTGTCTTCATAGTCGTTTTTATGCTCACTTTGGATCTCGTCGATGTACTCACCAGTCTCACAGTGAAACAAAGCTTGTTGGTCAAACTCGTTCACGTACGACGCCGCTGTATGGGCGGCATTATACAGTAGTAACAAGACTGCATGAACTGTCAGCATTTTAAGAGTGGACATTGGGGCTAAGATGAAAAGATGTTTTTACTGTTATGTTTATCATAAATCATTCAATATAATCTGATATTTTGAATACAACGGCACCGAGATGTTTCAGAATGATTGCATGCATTTTAAAAAGAAGATTAACATTTGAAGTCATCCTTTCGAATGAATAGTACATACTATTTTTTTAATAGAATGATATAATCAAAAAAGTTTTTATTCGCCAATTATCGTGGATATTCTGTAAAATATTATTGATTTTTTAAAATCAAACAAACATAAGATGCTCATGAACAAGTCATGCCCTTCTACTAAAAATGCGTACGTTAAACTACATTTAATCCATTTGGTAGGTTCAAATGTTGTAACGTCCTATACAATGTAGTTAAATGGTGTCCTGAAATTTCAACATATAAATCAATAACTATTAATCTTTTAAAAAATAAGTTATTAATTTTTACACATCCTCTTAATTTTATAATAAAAATAATAATGTGTTTAAATAAAACACAAAGAATGGAAACTGCGCTTGAGGAGGCACGCCTGTGATATGTTAGCAAATTTCATTCGAGTCTACCTGACAAGAGATTGAAATGGAAATAATGGGGCTCAACTAAATAATGTTCTAACTGACTCGGGAAAATGATCAATTAGTAATATAAAATACAACTTATTTTTTTTTTTAGTTCCCTAGGAAAAAATGTGACCAGTTTTAGATTTAATATGCAATTTACTAAATTTTTAAAGCTGTTACAGTACACGTCTTTAAAATGAATCGTTCTGATAATTTTCTTTTATTGCATCTGAAAAAAAGCATTTGATAAATTAAGCCTTTTAAAATGCTCAACTTACCACTCCAAGTTTACAGTAACAAAAGTAAGAGTGAATCGATTGCTGCCCTAGTCGTATTTTAGCGTGCTCTGTTAGTGTGAAGTAACGTACAGACTTGATCTAAGGAGAACAGAGTATATCAAGTTTTTATAAATTAACATTCGTCAGCATCCAAAATCACTTGTTTAATTATTGCGAAAAACTGCTTGAAAATAACTAATGTATCGATACTCTTAATTATTTTATAAGTAACCGATCCGGATTTAATTAAATATTCGTGTACAGAAATACATTGAAACAAAGAATCGATTACTGTACTTTTTTTTTAATGAACATGTGGTTATTGTTGAAGCCAAAAACGTGATTGTTGTATCAATTAAGACAGGTGTTATGTTGATCTAGGTAAACTCATTCCTCTGCCATTATTAATTGCAAATTTCGAAAGGCTATGAGAAGGGGTATGGGCTATGAGAAGGGCTATGAGAAGTGATATGAGAAGGGGGTGAGAAAGGGTATGAGAAGGGCTATGAGAAGGGCTATGAGAATGGCTATGAAAAGGGGTATGAGAAATCAGATTTACTAATTGTAATCGGATAAAGGCGCCAGGTACTATTCTTTCACAGGGGTCGCACGACCCTTTCACTGGGGTCGCCTAAGACCATCTGAAAACACATACACTCTACATTCATGAAGTATCAAGGAAAATGATTTTGTGGTTTGGGGTCGCCACAATATGAAGAACTGTATTAAAGGGTCACGGCATTAGAAAGGTTGAGAAACACTGTTCTACAGTCTACAGCCTTATAATTATTACGATCCCGGTGGGCTCCCAATCCCGTCGGTATCCCGCTGCCGTTAGTTTTCTAATTCACAGTGGGATTCCGATCCCTCTGAAAGCCCATTCTGATAGGATCCAAATCCTGTCGGTATTCCGACCCCGGTGGTATATCGATACCAGTGCGAGAAGTATACCGGTGGGATCCTGATCCCGGTTAGATCCCGATTTCTGTCCCGACCCCATTACGGGTGGGGTACCGATCTCGGAAGGTCTGAGCTTTCCGATGGGATGCTCATCCTGTTAGTATCCCGTTTCCCGGGGGTATCCTCTTCTCTGATAGGATCCCGATCCCGGTTTGATCGCTTTACCCGGTTGGGATCGCGTGACCTTGGGGTTCAATTCACTGATGGATCTCGTTAATGTTACTATAAGCTTTTGTATCCCTTTATATACCTACGTAGAACTATATAGAACTTTCTAGAACATTCTAGATACAATTTAATAAACTACTTGAAACGCGTATACAGCAACTTTCTAAGTAATTATTTTTTTAACTCAAAATATTATACGACTAAATGCACTACTATAGCTGTAACACATTTAAGCTAAAAGATGCGCCCAGAGGTGCCCCATTCCCTAATTTTACCGAATCAGTCTTGCCTGAGGTGGGGAATCTCATATAATCATTTAGGTAAGTTGGGGAGTTAAAATTAAAAATTGGTCCGATTAAAATCGGTTTAAAAATGCCAAAGATATTGCTTTTTAAAGTTATCGAATTCTAGATTGGATATTTGGATATTCTTAGTTTCAAATCCACCGATATAACGGACAAAGAAGTGTATTGGTACCACGCTAGGCCTATCTCCATGAATTCACATAGAACCTATAGTGTTGGCTAAGGCAATTGGTATTTATATAACTCATATAAGGATAAATGTAATCCACCACCCAACCCCCCCCCCCCCTCAGCCCTTAATAATTCAGATAAAAGTTATAGGCCTATCTCCATGAATTCACATAGAACCTATAGTGTTGGCTAAGGCAATTGGTATTTATATAACTCATATAAGGATAAATGTAATCCACCACCCAACCCCCCCCCCTCTCAGCCCTTAATAATTCAGATAAAAGTTCACTTTCGGCTAACTCATCGAACGCAGTGGTCAGGTTGGGAAATGACCCTCATTACTTTTCTTCAGGCCCCAAAAATGGCAGACTCTTAATTTGAACAGCCAGCCCAAAACAAATCTGTCTGCTGGCCCATAAACTTTTGATTGCTCCCTTACCCTTTTATTGATTCCCTCCAGACATCCTGATAAACCCCCTCAGGCCTGCTACTTTGTTGGCACACTGTTCTGTTCAGAACACTTCACCATTCTCTGTTTGCAACATCCTCACTAGTCACCATTCTCTGTTTGCAACATCCTCACTAGTCACTATTCTCTGTTTGCAACATCCTCACTAGACACCATTCTCTGTTTGCAACATCCTCACTAGTCACCATTCTCTGTTTGCAACATCGTCACCAGTCACCCTTCTATATTTGCAACATACTCACAAGGCACCCTGTT